AGGTGAACAGGGCTATAACTTCACTGCATAGGCGAAGACTGATGAGTTGGTTATGGAAGTGGGGAATGTGCTCTAAAAGCTAAAACAGCTGCTCAGTTTTGACCGAGTTTCGGGAAGCAATGCCGCCACTCACTTTGCGAACACAGATAATCAGGGCAGGGGCCTACTACTTTGTGAATAATCTATATCAGCTTTCGAATACCAGTAACGTTTAGGGCCTGTCTCTCGGATACTATGACTTGAGTCTAATAGTTCTCTTGGTCATCCCGTGTAGACTGCTATCATTTTCCGGAGTTAGTAGGAAGAATCCCCATTGCAAGACCTAGTTCAACTTGTCTGGGCATATATCTGCAAAGTCCTTGAGTTGGTCATACCGCCGTGATGTCGCAGGGTAAATCAAAGAAATATCTTAAGGGAAGACTTCCGTAAGAAACATTTGCTTCTGACCCTTTGCCTGATCTAGGCTGCAGGGCGAGACTAGATTTCTGGGCCCAGAGGCTCGAATGTATTGGCTTGTCGAATTTTAGCAATAGTGAGCTGTCTTTCGCATGAAGCTTTTGGAGAGGGTGTTGGAGGAACTTTCAGGGGTGTGCGGACAAGAACATTTTCAGACCCACATAGTTGGCGATTTGCGTCCCACGCATCGGTCTGCTACTATGAACCCAGACCAGAAACTATGAACCGACTATAATAAAGTTGGTTTGGCTCGACTTTGGTTTGGATACCCGACCAGTGGCTATTTTCACTAATGTTCGAAGCGCAAGTTGGTGACAAACTTCTAGTTCCGGTGCCCAAAACTCGGCCATTTCAATACTGTCACAATGAGGTACAAGCAAAAACTATCCAACGAGATGGCTACTTGAAGAGCCGCCTGAGGCGATTCGGCCATTTACATGTCTACATAAACGACTTGATAGACAATGCATTCTCCCTCATTTTGGTGGTACAATAAGAGCCCTAATTCAATCACATACATTTGTACACGATCGGCATTCTTTAATCCTTAAAGCATTTAGCAAAGTTTGCGAGCTAGTAACAGTGGCTTTAAAGATCCTGATAATGGTCATTTTAGGTAGCAAAATTTGAATCAACGTCTCGGAGTTTTGCGTCACGAATTTATTGGAGGCCCACTAGCATATGTGATTTTTCTCGCAAGGTTACTTTAAGGGCAGAACCAGGAGCAGGAAATTCAAAATACCTAACGACCTCTGCGTACAGGTGAAAAAAGATAAGCAGTTTATGAAGAGTTTTCGACGGTAATAGTTTAATCTACATACGGTACACTTGGGCATTCTATATCTGGATTCAGTGGGGTAAGAGTTAAGGCTAATCTCTTAAATAGCTTACCTCTGTTCCGGCGAGAGGCAACTCGAAAAGACACCCAGACTTCCAGGCCTGAAGGGAGACACCCAGAAATGCACGGATGATTTGTGATGGCGCCTCCTGATATGGGCCTGAGGTTGGACAGGTTTCTTGCTGTCCGATTTGCCACATGAGTGAACTTACGGCGTTAAAAGAG